CTCCCTTGCCTGAGGGCCTGCCTCACACCCAGAGCAAGCTGCAACAGCACGCAACCCCCGGCCCAGGAGCGGGCGCCAAGGCGGGGCTGCTGGCTCCACCAGGCCGAGCAGAGAGGGGCTGTTCCCGGCTCGAGGCTCGGCAGCTGCCTGGGCCCCAGAGGCATTGACACGGAGCCTGCTCAGGTCCTGGGCCGCACGAGGACAGGGTCCCCGGCCCCCGGCTGATGCAGAGGCTGCCCTCTTGGCTCCCCTGTCCTGCACCCGGACAAGCTTCGGGACCCTCACCTGTAAGATACAGGCTTGGGTACAACCCGCCCACATCTGGAGCCTGGGCCTCACACGTACCTCGGGGACGACCGTCCTAACCCCAGAATCCCACCGGCTGTTTCTAGAAGTCTTTAAAAATTCCAGGTTGTCTGGACACTGTTTCGGTGGGTTTAAAGAGCGATGGCACCCAACGAGGGGCCATGTCCTGTTCCCAAGGGACAGAGGGCAAAGTGACAGGGTAGTGGGTCACCGAGGAAAGGAATTTACGCTCTCTGTGTGCGAGGTACTGCTGCCCGGACAGACAGACCGACAGAACCCTTACACACGAGGCCACTGCAGACGGTGTCTGGCCACGAAAAATCGAGACATTTACCAATGAAGATACAAGATACAAGATACAAGAAATGCGGTATGTAGGACAATGACACCTCAGTCCCCTTCAGAGTAGGAGCCTGGGGACCTCACACCGGTCTCCCAGTCGCCATCAGCTGCCCCGTCGTGTTTTCCTGAATCTCATCGATGGTCTGAAATCTCTTCCCTTTCAAAGGTGATTTGGTTTGGGGAAAAGCCAGGAGTCGCAGGGCGCCCAATCCGGGCTGTAGCGGGCTGAGTCACCTGGGTGATTTGATGCTTCACCCAAAGACTCTGCACGAGACGTGATGCATGAGCGGGCATGTTGTCGTGATGAAGCTGCCAATCACCCGTTGCCCACGGCTGCGGCCTGAGTCATGTGAATAGTTTCTGTGGAGGAATGTTCACACTTAGTGTAAAATTGGATGCAGATTCATTGCTCTATTCACTGAGTCATTTTGAATGCAGCGGCCACACAGCGCACATGCTCACTCAGCAGCGTCTGCCACGCCCACGGACTAGGACAGTGCAGTCACCGTTGCTCACACGCGCGCACCCTGGTCCCCTCGCCTGGGCCGTCAGTTTTCATCGACGTTGCGCAAACCGTTCCCATTATATTAACCATGGCTGGACCTTTTCTGGACAGACCTCGTATGTCAGATATTTATTTCCCTCTTAAGGGTGAAGATCAGGGGTGTCCTCCAGAGTCCCTGCCCCCACCCGGTTATCCTAGAATCTTAAGTAACTGCGTGGTGGGCGTTGCGAGTCCCAGAGCTGCCCACGCGCCGCCTGCAGACCTGAGGCTCTCAGAGCCCCGACCGGGCTTCACGGAGAACGACCGTGCTCTCTTGTCAGGGGCAGGTGTGTAGGAGAGGAAGGGAAGGGGGGAGAGGGGACAGAGCCGTCATTGTGGCTAACTCCTGGAGGACACATAGCGGTGCGAGTGGGTGCACAGGTGGGTGGGTGGGTGGCTGGACAGACGGTGAATAAATCGGTGGCGGGAGGGAGGGAGAAAGGGGGGACGGGCGGCTGGGTGTCTAGATGGGTGGATGGGTGGATGGGTAGATGGGTGAATGGTTGGTGGTTGACGGATAGATGGGTGGGTGGATGGGCGAATAGGTAGGTGTTGGAGCAAATGAGGCAGAGGAGAGAGGAAGAAAAGCGAGGCGGACCCGTGTTCGCTACCCTGGGACCCACAGCCGCAGCAGCACCACGGAGCTCACGGGTTTACAGCCACAAGCTCCAGGCTACGCAGGAGGCGCCGTGAGCAGGGGCACAGCAGAGGAGAACCAGGGGTGGAGCATAAGGGCACACACTCTGTCCTTTCCTGGCGCGGGAGCGCATGTCCTGGCACAGGGAGAACGAGCCCTCCGGTCGCCTGGTGGTCAGGGGGTCTGGGCTCTGCAGACCGAGGCTGCTGTGGGCCCCCGCTGAGGGCCCGCCCTGCGGCTCTGCAGCCCCCGCCCCCCCTGCCACTGGACGCAGCTCACCCCCGGAGGGCTCCTTCCTCATCCCCCAGCCCCTGAGTCCCAGGGCCTCTCGGGGGCACAGACAGAGAAGCTGACAACCACGCAGGGCTCTGTGGAGGGTGCCCCAGCGCCCGTCCCGGGTGCTGGCGTGGGCAGGGAGCCAGGGGTTCCAGCTCAGGGCGTCTCCTGCCAGGCCCAAGAACTGGTTTGTCTCTCTCGGCCCTCAGGAGCCTAGGGCCCCTGTTCAGCCAAACCCAGGAACAGGCTGTGCCTTAAGCTGGGAAGGGCTGCGTGGGCCGCTCCGTGATGTGCGCTCTGGCTGGCAGAGCAGGAAAGGGAGGCCCTGCTGGGCTGAGGGGCCAGCGCGGGGACAGGGCCTGCCTTGAATCCCAGCCCTGACCCAGCCCAAGGACTGAGCTGCGCCCAGAAGCCCCCAGCAGTGGGAGCGGCTGTCTCTGGAGAAGGGCCGCTGGTGGCCGGGGCCGCAGAGGACGATCTAGGACAAGCGGGCCCATGGCAGGCCCTGGAAGCAGATGAGAGGGACGGTCTAGGCCTGTGGCCCTGTGGATTAAGGTGACACCCCCGCCAGCCCAGGAGGCCCAGGAGGGGGAGCCCCGTGTGTGGGAAAAGCCCCAGCTATGGCTCCCACCGGCTGGCTGGGTGACCCTTGCCAAGGCCCCACCCTCTGTGTGTCATCCAAGGGGGGGCTCTCTGTGTGTGCGGGCGTGTGACTGAAAGGGACAGAGCAGGACCAAGGGAGGCCTCAGCGGCGCCCGTCCCTGCGGGGAGAGGAGAGAGGGGCGGGGGAGCAGGGGGCGGGCGGGCCTCTGCCCATCATTCCTGCGGCCAGGGTGCAGCCAGGGCCGGGGAGAGGACCTGGGCTCTGGAAAGTGATGACGCTCTAGGGAGGAACGGGGAGGGACCAGCGGTGACAGAAAGAAGCGCTCGGTTCCGACCCCCTCCCCCATGACCTGGCACCTCCCAGCTTTCTCTGGCCTTCGGCAGACTAGTCAACACGTGCTGGGAGGGGCCCCCAGAGCTCCTCAGTCCCCTGCATTCTAAATCCTGCCTCCAGGACCACAGCCAGGTCGCCGCCTGCAGGAAGCCCTCCTGGCTGCGTTCTCGATGACTCCGGATCCCTGGGAATCACTCCCTTTATCCCACAAATAAACTGCGTCTGGGGCTGTTGTTGGCAGTCCTGCTAGGAAGCCCCCAGGAAGGGCAGTCACACCCCCAGGCAGCGCTGCCAGGAGCAAAGGCCTTCTCCCTGGAGCTGGAACCCAGCTGCCACCGCCACTCCGGTGCCTCCCGCCCAGACCTCTGCTCCCCCTGGCATCCCTGGACCCTGTGGCTCCGCAGCCCCGGAACCTGTTACCCCAGCGGCTTCCCTGCCCCTTGGCCCAAGTGAGTCACCCTCCCCACCTGCGCCGCCACCCGGGCCAGCGCCGCGCCCCTGAGCCCTCGCCCTGCTCCCCCGGCCTCGGGGTGCTCCCGCCCCTGCCCACGTGGCTGTGCCTGATGGATCCAGGGCGGCCTCAGACCTTGGGGTGACTTCTTCTGCGTGAGGACATGGGGACCCCCACAGTACCTGCCTTGTTAAATGAGGCCCCTGCTGCCCTAAACAAGCCGCCAGGAGTCAGGGCCAGCAGCACCGGCGGCCTTCCCAGGCTCCTGCCCGCAGCCCTCCAGCTACCCCCGGGGCCCCGGAAGGCACCCCCACACCACCCAGCATCTTTGAAGGGCTGTCCTGGGCAACCCCTTCTGGGAGGAAGGCGCAGAGCACAGGGTGGCACCCTCGGACCCCGCACCGCGACGCGGCCCGGACGACGCCCCAGGTTCCGGCGCCGGCTCGCCCAGCAGCCTGCCCCGACGGTCCTTGCTGGCACGCGTCCTTCGGCGGGCACAAGGGAAGGGCGCTGGGGCAGGCCCAGGGCTGACCTCTCTCTCTGCCTGGCCCAGGCCCAGCGCAGCGGAGCAGGGGAGGGGCGGTCCCAGGCCCAGCAGCAGAGAGGAAACCCAGGGGAGGGAGCAAGAGGGGCCGGGGAGGGGGCCAGCGCTCAGAGGCCGGCGCTCCGCTCCTGCGGTGACCTGCCGCGGTGTCAGAGGGCGGCTCGGAGGCTGGGCGGGCACCTGGCCTCCTCAACGCCAGCCTGGAGGGCCTGCCCCCCGTGGGACCAGAGAGAGACGAGAGGGCAGCAGCCCCACAGCCAGTGAAGGAGGCGGCTCCTCCGGGCCAGGGCCCCTGAGCAGGGTGGGGGGGCGCCCTGAGCGGGCGGGGGTCCCCGGCCCCAGGGGGAGGCGAGGTGGTGGAGACTGGAGAGTCCACCGACCGCTCCCCCTACAGCGGGGGGGGGCCACGCTGCACCCTCATCCCGCCGCCTCCATCCCCCGACCCTCCCCCACCCCAGGCCCCGGGCTGCCTCTCTGCGGACACACCCAGCAGCCGGGCAGCAGTTCGCGGGCTTCCTGGGGGTCCTTTTCCAAGGTCGACCCCGTGGCGCTGAGCCCAGAGCCCAGGCAGGCAGGGCCAGCAGGCTCCCGCGTCTTGCCTGCGGGCACAGCCCTGGGCACCCACAGGGCACCTGCGCAGACCACACCCGTGACCCTGTCTGCGTGTGGCGAAGGCCAGGGAGGCGGTGGGAGAGGAGGACGAAGAGACCCAGGGATGGACAGACGGCTGGAGGGAGGATGCTCCGGCTGGGAGCCGCAGGGCGGGCCCGAGGGGCAGGGCAGACCCCTGCCTGGGAGGAGGGGCCAGCCGGGAAGCGGCAGGTGCCAGTGGCATGTCCCTGCCTGGCAGGCCCCTCCCAGCAGCCTTGGTGGAAGCTATAAGGTCTTGGGGAGGAGGGGCCCCACGGCTCCCAAATTTGAGGCAGCAGCAGCAGCAGCAGCAGCAGCAGCAGCAGCAGCGAGATGAAGACAGTCCTGCTGCTCCTGGTCGTCCTGGCTGCGGCCACCGGCCCAGGTGAGGGCAGGCCGAGGGGCTGGGGAGCGGGAGGCACCGGAAGCCTGGAGATGGGGACCCCAAGACTCGGGGAACCCTGAGATTGCAAGGTGCTAGGCTCAGGTCTGAAACCCGCCCCGCACCTTAACGGAGCAGAACTGGATCCGCGTGCTTAGACTTGGAGCACCCCGTGGGCTCGGCGCCCCGAGAGGCAGTGCCGTTAGCAGTGGCCTTGAGACGCCCCCCCAGGAAAAGCCAGGGGCCCGGGTCATCTGGCCCCTGTCCCTCCAGGTCCTCAGGCCCCGCCAGGACAGCCATTCCCCCCACAGGCTCAGCGTGGCCGAGCAGACAGCCCCTGGGCCCTGACTCAGCCTCCGGCCGTCTTAGGGGCACAGCGCCTGCTGGGGCGCGGCGGCGGCGGGGGGCCTCTGTGAGCCCTGGGGCTCCCTCTCTACCGGATCCCCGTGAAGGAGCCACTTCCTCAAAGGTCTCCAGATGTGCCTGGCACCGGTCCCGGGGCCCCAGCAGGCAGGGCCTGTCACCTCCCTCGCGCCGAGGCCATGCAGGACCACGCCCGGGCGGGCCCAGGGGGGCCTGGGCAGGCCCTGGGGGGCCCGGCCTAAGGAATGGGCCGCAGACGGCTCTTGTTCAGCTGTGAACCCAGGCCTCCCGCGTCCCTGAGAGGCCTCCTTGAGGCTGGCTGAGCCCCTGACACCCCCCCCCCCAGCCTGGGCTCTCCGGTGTCACGTGTGCTCCAGTGCCACCGACTGCCTGAAGCCTCAGACCTGCCCGAGCTCCTCGCGCTACTGCAAGACTCAAAGCAAGGGTGAGTGACCTGGGGCGTCGTGACACCCCAGGAGCGGGGGTGGCACCGGCGGTGGTTCGGTCCTGGTGGCAACAGGGGCGGGGGCGCCGGGGCGGGCGCGGGGGGCGCGAGTGAGGCGGGGCGAGGGGCCCAGCGCAGCCCGGCCTGACCCGCTCGCCGCCCCCAGTGGACCTGCTGAGAGGGAACCTGGTGGAGAAGGACTGTGCGGACTCGTGCACGCCCGACAGCTACCAGTCCAGCCAGGTCAGCAGCGGCTCGTTCAGCACCCTGTGCTGCCAGGGGGACCTGTGCAACGACCTGAAGCTGCAGACGAGGCTGCCAAACCACGCGCCTGCCCGCGCCCAGCTCTCCGGCTGCGCTCTGCCCCTGGCGCTGGCCTTGGGCCTCCTCGCCCTCCTCCTGGCCCCCGGCCTGTGAGCCCGGGGGAGCCCTTCCCGGAACCCCCGCGGCCCTCTCCCATGGCGATGGGGGCCTGGTGGCTTCCTCGAAAGGTCTGGGCTGGATCCCGTGGGCACAGAGAGCCAGAGAGCCACCCCCCAGGAGGGGAGGACACAGCTCATGGGCAGAGGGCAGGCAGGGCAGAGGCCTTCAGACCCCTTCTGATTCCCTATCCATTCTGCTTGGCTTCCCTGTTTTTTTGTTTTTTTTTACTCAGAACACCGAAGGAATAAATGATGGAAAACCAGTGTGGTCGTGTCTGTGCTTTCCGGGGGGAAGAAGGGCCAGTTGGGCCACATAGGACCCCACACCCCAGCACCAGTCACTCCAGAAGTGCCAAGTCACTCCTCTTGAAGGGACCTGGCTCTCCCCAGGCACTGCCTCCAGCCGGAGGAGGAGGGCGCTGCTGGGAGAGGCCGGAAGAGGGGGAGAGGCTCAGGGGAGGGGCGCAGGGGGGGCCTCGAGGACGGGAAGTCCAGGCCCCTCCCACACGAAGTGATCAGGGAGGACAGGCTGCCCTTCTGCACCCCCTCCGCCTCCCTGGGCCTCCTCCAGACCTCGGTCCAAGAGTCTCCAGAGGGTCCACCTAGGTTCTCAGGCTGGCGCTCAATCCACTGAGTCATGCCAGCCGGGGCTGGAGGGCGTGCCCTGGGACACGCCAGGCTCCGCTGCATCTTGGAGCTGCGCAGGCACCGCCCGGCCGTGGCCAGGGTGCGTCCAGTTACCTTGGGGCACCTCCGTGGGCATGCTCAGCAGCCCCCTTGACCCCCCTCACCCCGAGGAGAGAGGGGTGTGTCTGTGTGCGAGGGAGTGGGAGACCCTTTGGGCTGGGAGCCAAGGCGGAGCATAGCCTCTGCAGGCCCGGGTTCTGAGCCCCGCATCCCAGGTTCTGAGCCCCACATCCTGGATTCTGAGCCCCGCATTCCAGGTTTCTGAGGCCCGCATCCCGGGTTCTGAGCCCCACATCCTGGATTCTGAGCCCCGCAGGTTCGGGGCATCCCAGGTTCTGAGCCCCAATCTGGATTCTGAGCCCATTCGGCTGAGGCCCGCATCCCGGGTTCTGAGCCTCACATCCTGGATTCTGAGCCCCGCATTCCAGGTTTCCGAGGCCCGCATCCCGGGTTCTGAGCCCGCGGCTTGGGTTCTGAAACTCCTGCCTGGGATCTGAGTGACCTGAGGCATCCTGCCTCTGTGAGCACCCAGCACCCAGCACCCTGCAGGTGCCTGAGCCGGCAGGCTTTCTCTCCTGGGAGGAACCCGGCGGGGGCACGGCGCCACTTCCTGAGCGGCCGCCACCTCCACAGCCCTCTTCCGCGGTCAGGGCGCCGACTCCCTCCCCTCTGGCTGGCGCCCTTGCAGACGTGGCCTGAGAAGCCCCGTGGTGCTCCCATCCCTGTGGTCAGCGGAGGGGTGGCAGCTGATAAGGAAGGGCCGTGGCCTTTGCTGACCCTGGGACAAGTGCCCACCTCTTAGTTTCCACACCCGGTGAGACGGGTCCCACTCCCCACCGTCCCTGCGGGGCAGCCTGCGGCTCTGGGTGTTTGTGACTGCGGCGGCAACGCCAGGCCTTCGCTGCCACCACGGAACCCCACCCCTGCATGCCCCTCCCCCACCGCTCTACCTCCAAGCCGCACCTGCCCAGGGTCGCCTGGGTCCCGCCTTGTTCTTACCAGTGACATTGAACACGGCACTACACTCGCGGAGCCTGTTTCCTAAGTGCTCCTTGGGTACCCACCCGGAACCCAGCGCCCCTCAGTGTCACCTGGACTTGGTGGCCCTGGAACCCTCTGCAGGGTGGCCGGTCTCTCCCCTTGGTGCTCCAAGGGGTTGTGAGCTCCCGCCCCGCCCCCCACTGCCACCGGAACATTCCGAGGGGCAGGGCCTGGGGCCAGCACGCCCCTCCGCAGCCCCTGCAGAGCCAGGCGTCGGGAGGAGCCTGCCAGCAGGGAATGGCTACCATCTCGGGGGCCCCCTCCGTGCTCTCTGCGCCCACTGCCCACAGGTGGATCTGAGTGGCAGGGGCTTCAGGGACGCACAGGCCACAGACTGGCCTCACTTCTGTGGGGTGGGTGGCGCTCAGGACCAGCCCCTCAGGGGAGGGGAGGGCTCCTCAGGCCGGTCCAGCTCAAGACGGGGCGGAAAACTGGGGTCTGGGCTGGCCCCAGGCTGGGATCCGGGCCCACCAAGACGAGGGGCGGGCTACCCGACCCCCGGGACTGGGCGGAGGGGCTGGCCAGAGGGGGGCGCTGTGCTCGGGGTGTTTCCGTCTGCGTCTGGGAGACGGGCTGCTCTGCAGCTGTTTTCCTGGAGTGCCTGTGTCCGGTTTGGCCGCCAAGGCCATGCAGGTCTCCCCGCTGAGCGAGACGTGTTCCTTGGTTTCTGGGCGGGGTTGCATGATGCCAGTATTATTCTTTCTCTAAGTTCTTTGTAGAATTCACTGGAACATTCTTTGTGAGAAGATTTTAAACAGCAATTTCAAGTGCTTCAAAGGACAGAGGGATAATTGGCTTATAATCAAGGGGGAGGGGGAAGTAAGTTTACAGCTATTTGTATGAAAAATAATACAATAATTAATGAATAAAACCCACTTTTGCCCCACCCAGTATTGCTAGCTCTGTCTTCGAAGGGGTTTACCTGTGTCATCTAAGCTACAGCATTGATTGGCCTAATGTTAATAGTGCTCTCCTATTATGTTTTCTTTTTCTTTTCTTTTTCTGCCTCTCCCCCCTCCCCCCTCGTTATCCTTTTAACATCGTGATGACCTGTCGTAATGTCCCCTTTCTCCTTCTGATGCTGGTGACTTGTCTCTTCTCTCTTCTTTCCAGCCAGTCTGGCGAGGGGTTTAAAACTCATGATATTCTCAGAGAATCAGCTTTTGGTTTGAATGATCTTCTCTCTTGTTTTTATTTCATTGACTTTTTTTTTTTTGCCTTATTTTATTTTCTTTATTTTGCTTACTTTGGGTTTGATTTGCCTTTTGAGACTGAAAACGACTAAAAGAAACCTTACTAAAATGCCATCTGGGGCCAGAAGGGGGCGCTCTCACACCGACACGCGTGTCACTTCCAGGCAGAACCGCCCATCACAGACCCTAGAGAGGCAGCGTCAGATGGAAAGAATCCTCTGAGACAGGCCCCACAGGAAGGGATGCTCGCTGCATCCCCTACGGCAAACCGCCCACCCGGCAACTCAGCCAATGACAAACCAGGAGTGCACACTTGTCTCCCACGGACTTTTTTGCAAACCAGTCCCTCTCAACTTCCTCCTTTTTCTCTGTAAAATATTCTTCTTCTTTGTTGGACCTGCCATGTCTTGCGGGTGACCCTCGAACAGCACGCGTTTTGAACTGTGCCGTTCTCGGATGCAGAGGGCTGATTTGACTTATACCCTGATTTTCGACTGTACGGGTGGTGGGCACCCCTGCCCCCACCCCCTGCTGTTCAAGGGTCAGTGGGACCGCAACCGAGCCGGTTAAAGCAAGCGAGTGTTCTCAGGCCCCTCTCTCCTTCCTGATGTTCTGTGCGCTTCTATCAGTTCCTCCAAAAGCAGTGCTGGGATCTCTGCCTGTGAGCAAGAATTTTATTTTTCTCCTCTCGGTTCTAATGAGGTTCTTTGTTTTCGGTCAGTTTTGAAGCTCCATTGTTGGGCACATAGACGCTGAGGGTGGTTACGGCCCCTAACAGAACTGAGCTCCGTGGGCACTAAGTTCCTCTTTATTCCTGGCTGCGTTCTTTGCTCTAAAACCCACTTAGCTTCCTGTTAACGCAGTCGCTCCTGCTTCCTTTCAATGGGTGTTAACAGGGACACCTTTTTCCATCCATTAACTTTTAACCCATTTGCATTTGGTAAGCACAGTAGTTTATTTGTTTTTAGACACAGCACACACTTGACGCGCTCTCTTTGTGCAGCTGACGCCCTCTGCTTTTTACCGGGGTGTGTGAACCACTTAGTGTGACGCGGGAAGTGCTGGGCTCCGCCAGTGGGGCCGGGTGTGGTCCGCAGGGTGCGCAGGCCGCGGGGCGGAGGCCGCTCCCCTCCGAGCGCTCTGCTACCGGCCCCCCCAGTTCAAGGTGTCTCCTCCCCTCACGCAGGCTGGCTCCTCCCAGGCCTGTGTGACTCTCCAGCTGTCCCCTCTCCCCATCGTCCTTTTGGCGCCTCAGGCGTGCACACCGATGACGGGGCTCGGCTGGTGACTTGGGAACCCTCGGCTGGCCCCCAGCGCTCACGCCAGCCCCTGTCTGCTCTTGCCCTGCCCCGGGAATTCCTGCGGCCCTGACCTCCCGGAACCCCCAGTTTGTCTCCTCTGCCGTCCTTTGCCGTGGCCCGTGGCCCTGTCATCTGGTTCTCTTGACTCCGGGGTCACTGCCCTGTGCTGCTTCGGGTGCACTGTCCAAATGCCGTTTTTCGGGGGTGTTTGCCCCATTTTTGGTTGTTTATGGTGGAGCGGTGAATTCAGTTCCCACTGATTCTGAGACAGTTCTCACGGTCTGACGCTGAAGCCCGGGGCGTGCTCTGGTGTGTGTTTGTCTTGTGCCCGGTCCGAGTGCGAGCTTGCATGAGGGTGAGAATGTTGGGGGACTTTGTCAGCTGTGTTGCCCGCCGTCCCGGCAGCTGGCCCCTGTGGCCTCTCAGTGACTGTTCGGCAAACAGGGAACCCAGTCTGCCCACTCAGCTCTGGAGGCTCAGTGCCTACGGCCGCCCAAAGGGTTCATTTCTTTCAAAGAGGAATAAAGGACTTTTAAGGCTAAAAAAAAAGTTGTATTTAATTTATTTTTTTATTGATTTATTTTAACCTTTTTTTTTTTAGAGGGAGAGGGGAAGGGACAGCAAGAGGAAGACTGCCTTGTTGTTCCACTTGGGGATGCGCTCAGGGTTGAGTCCCGTTGTGCCCTGACGAGGCAGGGAGCCCGCACCCCCGGCTGTGGGGACGACGCTCTAACCAGCTGAGCTACCGGCCAGCGTCTGTATTGTATTTCTCACACTAAAAAGGAGAACATTTTAGGGCCTGTGAAAACCTTAAATTTTGCCTAAAACAGAACAAAAGCTAAATGTTAGCGCAGTCACGTAAAAAATTACTTGCTGTTGATACAGCCATGGCGGGAGGCGTCCAAGGCTGCTTTCACGCTTTGTCACCCAGGAACAGGCGTGGGGACTAAGGGCCAGGGATGCTGGGTGACTTGCCGGGTCGCACAGCAGGTAGCGCGGGTCCGGGGGAGGGAGGGCCCGGGAGGCCGAATAAGGAGTCCCTGCGCCCCGCCGCGCCCGCGGTGGCCTGGGAGGGGGGACGCGGAGCGGGGCGGCTGGTGGGCGTGGGGCCCACTGAGGGCCGCGGCGTGGGTGAGTGGGCGAGGCGCCCGCGGCAGCAGCTGGGCAAACAGAGGGCGGGGCCCGCTCCGGTGGCGACGGCCCGGGACGCGTCGGGGCGCCGCCAGTGCGCCCGAGGGTCGAGTGGGCGCCCCTGCGGCGCCGCCTGCGTGCCTGGCAGGGGCTGGCTCTCCGCGGTGTCGCAGCGTCCCGACGCCAGGGCTGGGGTCCGAGTCGCTGCGGGAGAGAAGAGCGCGCAGGACGGCGGGGGCGGTGGAGCCGCAGAACCGGAGGCGGGGCTGAAGCTGGGGGCGGATCTAGGGGGTAGGTCGGGGGCGCGGCCTGAGGCGGGTCTGAGCTCAGTCCCGGCCGGGTTCTGGGGCGGGGCCTGCGCGAGCTCCCGCGCGGCCAGCGCCTTCCTTGGCCGCGGCCGCAGCGGCGGGGCGGGCGGGGGGCGGAGCGGACCTAGAGGGGCGCACGGACGCCCGCACTGTCGGACCCACAGAGAGGCCGGCGAGCGGCCGCGGGTGAGTCCCGGGCGCCGCGGGGTCTCGGCGCGCTGAAGGTCACGGTGGAGGTCACCGGGACACCCACCAGCTTAGCACCTGTCTTGGGACGGGGTCTCCGGGAAGGGGCGGGAGGCGCGGGGTGCTGGCCGGGCCTTACTGAGGCCTTAGGCGTCCTGGGGTTGACACCGGAGAAATGGGTCATGGAGGGTGGAGTTGTTCTCGGAAAGAGGGGTCCGATTGAGTTCCCGGGGCTGGAACCTGGAGCCGGAATATCCCCGCGGGGGAGGGGAGTTGTAGTACTGACCCCCTTCCCCAACCCAGAAAGGGTACATCTGCTCCATCCCCGGCGCCAGACCCAGCCTGGGCGGTTCATCCTGCTGTCCTGCCAAGTGCTCTCCTGGAAGGCAGTCAAAGCGCATTTCCCCCGCAGGCCGAATGGAGCTCATGGCTGCTGGAAGCTCCCGCAGCGACCGGTTCTCAGACCTGAGCGCCAGTGCAGGGCTCTGGAGGTCTTCCTGGGGGACCGGACCCCAGCTGGGCCCTGAAAATAGCAGGAAGTGGGGGACCCACGCAGGAAAAGCCCAGAAGCAAAGGAGAATGGGGAGCACTGAGGAGGAACACACCCACGGGCCCTGGGCGGGGGCGGGCTGTGTGCCAAGCTGGCACGGGACCCTTGCATAAACATGCCCAGGGAGAGTGTGGGCTCGGCCTGGCTCCAGGGCCCCTCCAGCCGCCGGCCCTGCCTACCCCTCAGTCTGCACAGCCCCTCTGCGTGGCAGGCACGGGGCTCTCCAGTGGCCTGTCCCAGCCCTGCTCCCTTCTCATCTCACGGCCCCTCCTCCAGGGGACCCCCCGATGCCCAGGCTGAGTCGGTGGCTCCTTTGCCTGCTGCCCCCCTGCCCACGCCCCCTCCCTGTCCCCCTCTGTGCAGAGCTGCAGTGCCACCAGGAGACCAGGAGCTCCCGGAGGGCGGGGGGCTGTCCGGCTCCCTCCGTGCACTGCCCCAGCCTCACCCGCATTGAATCAAGGACCAGCTGCTGTCCATTCCCTGCACTGACTGCCCCCTGGCCTCCAGCCATGGCGCCCCCGCTTGCCCTGTTCCTGGTGGCCCTGGTGGCCCTACCTCTGGGTAAGATGGATGGAGGAGGGAGGCAAGGACAGACCATGTTTGGGGGCAGGTGGGATGAAAGTGGGGAGAGGCCAGGATTCCCCCGATCACCTCTCCCCCCTCCCCTCTGCCCTGCGGAAGGTGACGAGCCTGGGGGTCTGGTGGGCGTCAGGACGGGCCTCCCCCTGTTCTGTGACCCCCGTGCCCCTCGCCCATCCCTGACGCCCAGCCCAGGCTCTGGACTGCCACGTGTGCACCTACAACGGGGAGAACTGCTTCAACCCCATGCGCTGCCCGACCATGGTCAACTACTGCATGACCACGCGCACCTGTGAGTTGCTGGGACGGCCTCGCAGCCCTTCCTGGGGAGACTGAGGGGGGCCTCCCTCCTGCCCCAGGGTCCTTTCTGGGAGCCCCCAGCTGAGGGGTCCTGCCCTAACGGCCCTGCATGCTGGGGCTGGGCCATCCTGGGTGGCGGCCCCTCCCTGGTGGTGGAGGTCCTAGCCGGCGCCCTGCCCTCTGCAGACTACACACCGACCAGGCTGAAGGTGAGCAAGTCCTGCGTGACCAGCTGCTTCGAGACCGTGTACGACGGCTACTCCAAGCACGCGGCCACCACCTCCTGCTGCCAGTACGACCTCTGCAACGTGGCCGGCCTCGCCGCCCCAGGGGGCCTGGCCCTGGCCCCTGTGCTCCTGGCCACCCTCTGGGCCCTGCTCTGAGGCCAGCCTGTCCTCTGTCCCCCAAACCCCTCGTGGACAAAGCTCTGAGAGGCACAGCCCTGGCCTCTCACCCTGCCCACCCGACCCTCCCTCGGCCCTCTGAGACCCCTCGGCCACAGCCAGGACCGTCCACAAGAGGATGGCCCGAACTGCCAAGGGGCCTCGGTCCCAAGCCGTGACCTTTCCATTTCAAAAGGCCGAGTGTGACAAGGCCTCGCGCAGGCGGCCGGCCTTGGCCGGCGAGCTCGGTCCTGCTCTGTCCCTGGCAGGACTCCAGCGGGGACGCGTGCTATTTATGAGGGTCCTCGGTCGGCCAAGGAGCACTGATTTGCAGGGTGATGCGCCCCACCTTCCAGGCAGCCCTGGGGGCAGTGGTCACGTGAGGTCCAGGAGAGGAAGGCCTTTGTCCCCAGCTGCCCCAGGCAGGAGTGCCAGACTTGGTGTCAGGTAGGAGGAGGGTCTCAGGGTCTGGGGGTTCTTACTAAATGCTGTTCCTGCTCAGTGTGCAATGCAGCCCAGGAGACCCCACCCATGAATAAGTGTAGCCAGTGCACAGAGGAAATCCACATCCTTAACCTAACGCTGTAGACAGGCCGCGGCTCAGCCTCCCTTAGGGAGCTGGGCTTTGGATGTGAAGCGCACCTCCTTTACTTGTAAGTAAATAAAACTGCCCAGATGACCAGGTCTCCTGCTGGAACAGAGCACCCAAGGCAGCTCTTTGGGTGGTCATAACGTTAACAAGGAAGGGGACACTCCCTCCCTACCTGCTCATCCAAACCCTGGGGCCTGGAGCTGCACCGCTCCGCACCCACGCCCCCAAAGGGGCTCCGCTGACGCAGTGGGCAGGCCCGCAGGCCGGTAGGGCTATATTTAGTTGGGCCTGAGAGAGCTGACACCGGGGCTATTTTGGGCCGGGAGGCGGGGAAGAAGGACGGTGGCCATCCCAGGCCTTGTTTGGAGGCACCTCCGAGCCTAACCTAGCCTGAGCAGGGTCCCCGACGTGGAGGCTGAACTGCGACCCCCCAGAGCAGATGTGTCCAACGTGGTCAGCGCGCAGAGTGCGCCCTCTAGGGGGCCCGGCAGGGGGCAGGGGCGAGCCTGTCCTAGAGGAGGAGGGTTGCTGCTGCACCCTGGGTGGGGCGGGCGTGGGGCGGCGGTGGCTGCCGTCTGCGCTGGCCCGCTGCACGATCCCGGCAGAGCAAGGGCGCCGTCAGCCGGCCCTGGCCCGGGAGGCCGCCCCGGCAGGCCCGAGGGTCCCGTGGGCCCCAGTCCGCTGGCAGAAAGGGCGGGAACGCCGCCCTCTGCTGGAGCGCTACAGCCACCACCCGCACCCTGCTCTGCGGCTGGAGATCCGGTGGAAGGCAGGTCTCCCCCTGCGGGGGCTCGGTGAGGGCTGGGGAAGGACCCTCATCGTGTAATTTAGGGTTCTGAGTTGTGGGGTCCCCGATGGTTCCCGTTGCAGAGCCGGCGGGTCTTTGGTGAAGTTCCGGCGTGTGGGACCCTACAGAAAATCCGTAGGGGTGGGCCGGAGGGGAAGCGGGTGGGCAGAAGCCCCGCTGGCTGGCGGGAGCCAGGGCCTAGCAGTGCTGGGGCAGAGGTGGGCCCTCCCAGCTCACCAGCCCGCCCCGCTGCGGGGAAGGGTGTGCAGACTGGGCCCCGAGGCAGCGTGGCCTCAGCACAAGCTGTGAGTGACTTAGGTGCGTGCTAGTGCGGAGAGGCTGGTCCGCGAAGGCACAGCCCAGCTGGGGTCCTCCTGGAAGGATCTGGAAGAAATGGGTTCAGCAGCCGCCCCCACAGGGAGGCCTTCACAGCAGCAGACATTCGCGTAAGACCCATTCTCCCTGGTGCCCCCCAGAGGGCGACAGTGAGCAGAGCCTGGGCAAGCACCTCTGCTGCGCACTTGAGGTTCCCTAGAGGCTGCCGGAGAGGCTGCGTAGGGGGCTGCGCTGGGCCGAGGGAGCAACACAGGCCGAGCCCTGCCCCTGGTCACTCACACGAGGAGGAAAAGGAGCCACGCATCAACCCGACCCGCTCAGCGGGGCCTGCCTGGCAGCCCTGCACACTCCGGGACCGAAGGCAACCCCGCAGGAGGGCCAGAAGTTAAAACATATTAAGCAGAAGCAGTTCCTGGCGGGCGGTCCGCCTAGGCCAGCACCTTTCCCTAACAAAGGTTGGTCTTCACCTCAGCAGATCTGTCCGTTGTCTTTTTGCATCTACAACACGCCTTTGCAATGGACGCAGCTACCGCACCAGGGCCGAGGCCACCAATCTCCTCGTTGTCATGTTGTTTTGAATTTAAAATTTTATTTACTTATATTTAGAGAGAGGGGGAGGGAGGGAGGAAGAGGGAGAGAAACATCGGACGGTTGCCCCCAACGGGGCACCTACACAGGCCTGTGCCCTGACCGGGAATAGAACCAGTGACCTTCTGGTCTGTAGGCCGGCGCCCAACCCCCTGAGCCACGCCAGCCAGGGCGGCAGTGTGTTAACTGCTGACTGTTAACTATCCTTCTCCCACCTGTGGGAAAGGAGCGTGTGTCTCACCTTTCATCCCATTGCAGAGTTCCCCCCTCCCCCGCCTTGCTTTCTCCCACAGCCCCAGTGGGTTTCACGTAGCCCCCCGCCCCCTCCTTTGACGGTAATGTAGAACATAGGGTGCTAAACCGCCACTCTGGAGCAAGTCTCAATCTGTCAAGATGCTGCTTCCTGGCAATGGCTGTCAGTTTGGCTCAAGTAAGCTCACCGGACATTCTCCACAGGATCGAGTGTCTTTCACACGGACACACATGGGCCTGACCCCGATTACTCACTGAGCCTTGATGCTGGTCACACTGGGAGCCCTGACCTTGGGCACAAGCTGAACACTGACCCCGAGGACTGTGGAGGAACCGAGGGAGGGGAGGAAGGGGGGCCTCTCAGCACACAGGCACCCCCCGCACAGAGCCGGCCTGGGCCCTGGCTGCGCCACCGCCCCCCCCAGCAAGGAGACCGCTGAGCCTTGCAAAAAGGTTCAGCCCAGGGGTGTGCTCTGGGGGGGGAAGCAGTGTGTGTGGCGGGGCGGGGGGGCGCGGGGAGCCCTGGCACTGGAGACAGGAAGGGCTTGGGCCGGCTGGGTGACAACAAAGGGACCCAAAGGAGGGGCCAGACCCGAGTGGGAACCAGGGCGTGTGTGGAGGCTGTCGAGTCCAGCCAGCTCGCCTGCGTCAGCGCCTGCCCCTTCCCGGGGGACCCTGCCTGGACCGCGTCCTGTGCCAGCCAGTGCGTGCCTTTGGTCGGGGACGGCAGCGGCCCAGCGCAGCCTGTGTCGTGCTGACACGGACCTGTGCCAACGGCCCCCCCACCCCCCGCCCGGGCAACCCCGGCCCCCGCCCTCCCCGCCCTCCCCGCCCTCCCTCCTGAGACCGCGGCTCTCGAGGCCCCTCCCAGCCCTGCGTGCCCTTGAAGCCCGCACACCGGCACCAGGCTCCTGGGTCCCCTTTCTGGGCCCGGACTGCGCGCCGCGGTGGGAGGGCCTCCACCTGCGTCTCCGGGGCCATGAGGCCTGTCTCCCCTCTGCCCAGCCCCCCAGCCGTCTCTCCCCACCCGCCTCCCCGTGGGAGCAAGGACAGTCGCTGGGCCCGAGACAGGCACACAGGCCAGGAGGGACTCTACGCCCCCCCCCGCCCCCCCCCCCCCCCCCGCGATGCGGAGGCCTGACTGGGGTGGGGCAGGAAATGGGACCCCTGGGCAGGGTGGCTTCTCAGAGGTGGGGCATTAGGGCGGGGCCTTCAATGACGAGAGATCAGTGGGGTGGAGGGGGCACACCGGGCCAGGCGGAAGGTTCAGGCCGGGCAGCAGCGGCCCGGGACCTCAGATGGCCCCCCGAAGTGCCCTGCGGCCTGCCCTCTGGCTGTGGTCAGGCCCATGGGGCCGGGGTCCTGTGTCATGTAGCAGAGGGCGCTGAGGAGGCAGCTGTTGGGGCAGTCCCTGAGCACCCAGCGCCTGCCTCCTCTAGGTTCACCCCAGAAAGTCCGCCTGGGCCCACTGCCTCAGTGTCTGCGGACACCCAGCCTCCAGTGTGAAGGGGACCTTCACTCCCCCTGGGCCTTGGGCAGCACCAAATCTTCCGGACCATCTCTCCATCACACCCGCCCAACAGGCTCCTTGTCCCCGAAGGGCCGCCCGGGCCTGTGTCCGGATTGAGACTCAGCACCTGTGTGTGCACGCACACGCACAGCCGGCCGTGCGCTCCTCCCGGCTGCTGGACCCGGTCTTTCCCTTTGCAGACAGTCTCCTTGCAAACCTCCCTCGGTCCCCTACAGCGGGCGCCCTGCCCAGGAGGCCGGGCCGCTCCCCAGGCCGTTGGGGAGTGAAGGGGGCAGCCTAGGCCACAGCCGATGCCCTCGCCGCAAACCGCCACCTGCCGTGCTGCCTGGACAAGGCTACCTCCTCCGCGGAACGCCTGCGGCCAACCGGCCGCTTCCAGCCGCCTGTCCTGCCCGGGCCGTGGAGCCTGGGCGGCGGTCACAGCACGGCGCCGCCCTCCCCCCCGCCACTCACCTGCTTCGCGCCCTGGGTACCACTTCTCTGCCCTCCTCCAGGGGCCTGCAGAGCAACCCCCTACCCGTCGCGGTGCCCCCACCGCCACCAGGAGCCTGGGTATGCAGACCCAGTCTGGGTGTCACCTCCCAAGCCCCCCTGGAGGACCTGGGGCTTGACCCTGGGAACGCACTGGAAACCTGGCCTGGACGTCTGTCCCCGGGTGGGAGCGCAGGGCCCAAGGGCTGGGGAGGAGAAGGCCGGCAGGTGGACGGGGGCTGGGCAGCTCCTTCCCAGTCGGAGCCCCACAGTCTGGGCAGCGGGGACAAGGCCCGCCCTGCCAGCACTCCCTGGGTTCAGAGCAGCCCCCCACACCAGGACACACCTCACTGAGTGGCCGCCGCCTCTGTGGGGGGGGTCAGGACTTCCAAATGAGGACCTCTCCCAACACACTCAATCAAGGCCCTTTATTTGTGGGCTCTCTTGAAATAAAACAGTGTAGCTTTCCCGTGGCGGCCGTGAGGCAGACAGCGCAGGGGTAGGCAAGGAGCAGGTGCGGCTGTGCCCCCAGCGGAGGGCTTCCTGGACGGCGCGGCGAGGAGGTGGCCCTGGGCTCTGGCGACTCCGGCCAGCCCTGTGGGCCCGCGGGGCAGGTGCGCAGGCAGCGGCCACACACCTGGGGCCCCGCCCCGTGGCGCCAGCCAGCCAGGGCGCCGAGGCTGCGGGGCAGAGCCTGGGCTGGGGCTCTCTTGCTCGGTGCCTTGGAGGCTCTCGGCCGGTCCCGGCCTCTTTCCAGGCCCCCCTTCCCTCGGTGACAGGTGAGGCCCCAGGCTGGAGCGGGTGGCCTTGGCCAGTATCCCAGGGTAAGGCCCCCAAGACCCTCACCAGCCCCAGACCCTCTATAGAGGAGAGGCAGCCCCGCAAATCAGCAGCAGGAAAGGACGCCAGGCCAGGCCAGGCCAGGCCAGCAGAAGGGCCAGGGAGGCCCGCCTCTGGGTGTGCAGACGAGGACGGGGTGCGGGGCACCCGAGCCGAATCCCACGCCCTGCTCTGTCGTCCCCTGGGCAGCAGGTCCCAACCTGGTCACCCCCAGAGACAGGAAGCTCACCGTTCCCACAAGCCCCCTTCTGCGTGCCCTTTGGCCAGCCTGCCTGGCCTCTGACCTGTCCTACGGGCCCTGGGCCTGCCCCTCCCTCCCTCACCTGCGGCCAGAGGGAGCGGCTCCAGATGGTCCTCATGCTCCAAGCAATCTCTGGACTTGGGCCTCTGGACGCCTGGCTCGGCACCCCCACCCCCACCCCCAAATGGCACGCCAAGGGCCTCCCCCACTGTCTCCACCCAGAGGGCAGAGATGGGCCAGGGCGACTCTGCCTCCCGATCCCCTGCTCAGCGTGGGGCGGGCCACAGAGGGGCATCCATACTGGGAGAGGGGAAGGGGGCCAAGCGGGGGAAGGGGGCTGGGTTTGTCCCGAGGCTACTCCAGCTCAGGGAGAGTGTCCTGTCCTGGCCCGCCTGCCCTGCACTCTGGTCCCCGGGCAGGTGGGGAGGGAGTGGCAGTCATTGGTCCTTGACAGAACTGCTGAGTCCGCTCTCGGTCCGGAGCAGCTGGCTGCTGGTCTCGTTGTAGGCGATCCAGTGCCGCAGGTCTTCTGGCAGCTCAGGAGGCTCCACCTGTGGTGGGAGGAGGGTGAGGCTCCCGCGGGCCCTCTGCTGCCATGGCAACGAGCACGGGGGTCGAACAGGCTGCTGCCTCTGGGCTTCTGCGCTGCTGTCCCCAGCCTCCGCCCCTCCCAGGCTCCCCAGGCTCCCCAGGCTCCTGGGCCCTCAGTGTTTACTCTACCCTTGTCCTAGCTCCTCCTTTATCAGGCCCGTGTGTCCCCCAGAGTCATGCCAGAGCCCTCTGTGTGTCCCCAGAACTCAGGGAGAACCTGCTGAGGCACGCGGGTTGGAGAGGGGGGACGGGAGACCGGAAGTGCAGAGGAGCCAGGGGCTTTTGGAGTCCTCTGGGGCAGGGGGCGGGGGGCGGCGCCTGGCCACCATTCTGTGAGGCGGTGGCAGGTGCAGTGCCGGCCAGGCCTCGGGGTCGGGGTGAGAGGCCTTGCCGACTGGCTTTGGGAGCTCCTGGAACGAGGCACAGCCCCGGGCCAGTGCCCGCCCCTCTCGGCGCACCCAGGGGCCGGCAGAAGGGCTCAGAGACGGCGGCCCGCCGCCCCGGCAGACGGGGGAGCTGCCCTCACCACAGGGAGAGCCTGGGCAGGCTCTGCTCCAGGTCTGGGCCTGGCTCTCGGGAGTACTCTCTGCCCGGCCCATCTGTCCCCCTGAGGCCAGGCCAGCCTTTCGGCAGGCAGGGCCCTGGGCACTGGGCTCAGCCTGCTGACACCGAACCAGAGACTCCTTCTGGAGCTCCCAGAGGCTCAGGATGGAAACCAGGCAACTCCTGGCCACCCCTCGGCCCTCCTGTCCTTGGCGGGTGTCCCTGCCATGCTGCGTTGTCAACCCTTCACCACTCACAGGGACCTCACCCCTCAGCCCAAGGGACCCCGCAGGCCGCGCCTGACCCCACCGCAGCCTCCCAGGCAGGAAAGCCTCCTCTCCTCTCCGTGCCTCTCTGTTGCAGCTCTCAGCCAATCAACCTACAGCCCTGATGGCCACTCCCTCCCAGCCTCCTAACACAGGGAGGGACACGTGGACCATCTGTCCCCATGGACCCTTTGGTTGTGCCCCTGGCTCACCAGAAACTGAACACCCGGGAGCTGCGCGGTGGCCCGTGTGCGGCCTCGAGCAGCCCCATCCCTCGCCAAGCCTGTCCCCCACCTCTGATGCGGGAAGAGCTCGCCTCCCTCGGCGGAGGGGGGCTGTGCCCCTCCTCTTCCCAGAAGGGCAGTGTCCTGCTTGCGGGCACCCGGCCGTCAGGACAGGCGCCGGCCCCGCGTGGAGGCGCCCTGCCGGTCCGCAGGAGCCCCCCTGCAGCAGGAGTCGCCGTTGCAACTGCTGCCTGGGCAGCACTGGGCTGTCCCCAGGGCCCGGCTCCACGCGGCCGCCCCCGGCCGCGTGGTGCTGGGCGGGGCCGGCCCTGGGGAGTGGCCTCAAGCCTCCAGCAGCACCCCGGCTTCTATCTCCAGCTGAAGAAAGCAGAAAGGCCTGCGCTGTCCAGGGCTCACTCCCCCGAGGCCAAACCCAGGTGATGGGGACCCAGCCCCTCAGCTCTAAGCTGGGTGAAACGGCGTCTCAGGCCCTTGAGAACTCCCAGCAACTCCCTCTCACTGGCACCCTCCCACCCCCACCCCGCACACGCAGCCACACTGTGTTAAGAACCAAGGACCAGAGAGGGTGGTTCCACACCCCAAAACATACAGCACTTAGTCTACTGGGAGCAGGCTGGTCTGGGTGCTCCTGTCCTGGAAAAGGTGGTGAACGGGCATGGACCCTTGCGGGCCCGCGGTGAGAAGTGGCAGGTGGGGAGCAAGCACAGATCAGTTCCGAATAGTTGATTCGGAGACCCTGGAAGCCCCCAGGGACGATGGCATCAATGAAGGAGGCCCCGGGCCCAGGGGAAAGGGCTGTACGTAACAGTACGCAGAAGGGCAGGGGCACCCCAAGGGATCAGACCTTCACCAGAGGAGGGGGCAAGGACCAGGAGTCCTCAGGGCCCCGCGGGGTCGTGCACAGGGAGTGGGGGATCTCACCTTCCGCTTGCACAGGTGCTGCACCACACGCTCCGGAGTGGTGCCCAACACGTGCTGGCGGGAGCGCAGCAGAGCGCACAGGAAGCCGTCGCGCAGGCTGATGAAGCGGGTCTCAAGGTAGAAGGCGCGGTCGTCCCAGCCCAGCAGGCGGGTGCGCACCTCGAAGGGGTCCAGGAGGCGCAGCGAGCGGCGGTAGCGCGCGCACGAAGCGGCCATCACGCAGTGCGCCCCGAGCGCGCGCAGCGCCCCGAGCACGCCGCAGCGGACCAGGTGCGCCGTACGCGCCATGTCAGCCTCGCGAAGATAGCGTGCGTTGTTCATGTGCAGCAGCAGGTCCAAGTCCGAGGGCAGCACTCGGCCCGCATAGCGCTGCTCCGCCAGCAGGTCGCGGACGCGCGGCTGCAGCAGGTGAGCACGCAGGAAGACGAACGACGCACGCACCAAGTACCATCCGTCCAGCAGCGCGAAGTAGGCGAGCGCCACGGCCAGCAATGGCACGAGCAGTCCCAGCATCGCGACGGAGCCCGCGACGCCGGTGCTTGCCGGTGTGCGCTCAGCTGCTGCTAGCTCCTACCAGCCCCGGAACCCGCGGGAGCAGCACGTCTGGACCGAACCACCTTACGAAGCCGGCTGAGGGGGGAACGCTCCTGAGGCCCCAGTGCTGTAGGCCGCAGTCCCGGCCCTCGCCCTAGGCACCCCCGTGGCTTCCGTGGTCCGTTCCGTCCCGCCGGGGGCGCCGCCGTCGCTTTCCTGGGGAGGGCGGGCCGTAGGGCCGCGCGCGGGGCGCCACAGCGGCATCTGGCGGTCGCGCTCCGCGTTGCAGGCGTCGGAACCCCTGGGGTCGCCCGCAGGGTCCCTACCGGGCCCGTAGCGCAAGCCTGGGAGTCTCTGCGGGCCATTGAAGACTCGGACAGGCCCCAGAGATTCGGCCCCTGATCTGAGCAAGGTCAAAGGGCCCAGCACTTACCCGGTCCCGAGAAATGATCAGTTCCCCATTAGCCGGTCCCCAGGGGAGCTAATTGGAGACTCTACTGGAAGCTGACCCTCCTTTCCTCTAGAACCTCCAGGGGCTCCAGACTTCCGCAGGGTGACACCCCTGAAATACATGCAGCGGGTTTAGGGTGCATCACGGTCTGACCCCAATACACTTTGTCAGTCCCAGCCTATAGCCTCCTTACCCCTGCCCACCGACAGCCGCCCGACCCCCCAAGATCCTGGCCGCCCGAGCTCATTCCCAAGCATTCCCACCCTTTGCCCCTTCAGACACAGCAGCAAATAACGTCCGGGGGAGGAGGGGAGGCCATGAACGGGAATGACTCAGCAATGGATTCAAAGATGGCCTGCCCTTGAGACTCAGCCCGGTGACCCAGGGCCTGTCCCTCTTCCCCGCAAGGCTGGGGAGGGGAAGCCTGGAGCAGGCCAGGCCAGTTCTTCCAGCTGGCCCCCGCGAGTGTCTGCCAGTGGCCTGGCAGGGTGCTGCAGCCCCAGAGCGGGGAGAGGCAGCGCAGGAGCTCCTGGGTGCTGCTGTGCAGCCCCGTGGCTCTGAGGACGCACCGGCGGCAGCTGCCCCTGGTCCAGCCCACACGGGGCCTGGGCTCGGGTGGCAGGGCCCTTGGCCTCCCTCCCGAAGGAGCGGCTTTCCTGGGCAGCCCCGCTGCACAGCCCCGCGCTGGCCTCCCTCCAGCGCCTCACCCACATCCTTGCTCCCCTGGCCCTGTGCTGTGGCTGGCCGGGGTCTCACCTGGCTGCGGGGCCAAGCCAGGGGCCGCAGGGCGAGGAAGACAAGCTTCCTGGTCACAGGTGGGCAGCGGTACAGGGGACCTCGGGCAGCTCCCCGAGGCTTCGGCTGGCAAGGGAGAGGCTCCACGGCCAGCTGGGCCCGGTCCTCCGCCAGCGGGGGCCGGAGAGCCGCGCAGCCCCCAGCCCCCAGCCACCGACCAGGCTGAACGCTGCACTTCCTTTGTCCTTGCTTCTGCTCCCTGAAGGCAGGGCTCACTTCTCAGCCACCCCAGGAGGCGGTCCCAGCTCTGCCTCGTCCCACGCACGACCCTGAGCCCCGGCCGCTCCTTGAGCCTTTCAGTTCAGCGCTGCCCTGCTGGGGTTCATGGTCTGCGGTGGGGCGACAGGTCCCGTCACCGATGTATCAGCATGCGCTGAGGTGTGGGCTGCAGGGAGGGTGCCGCAGGCGGGGGGTTCTGGTGCTTGGGTCACCCCGCACCCCAGTTCACACCGCCAGCCCACACCTCTGTGTCATCTTGACCCAGGGTTCAAGGTGGGAAGATGGGAGTTGCCCTGAAACCAGGAGGGACCCTCTGCCCCTTGGCTCCCCACGCTGCCCAGGGGAGCTGGGAGACAAGCACATTTCCCCAGGGCTCAGCCTCCAGCAAGATCATCCTTCCCCGCACCCCCCCCCCCCTGCCTCAGGGCCTCTTTTCAGGATCGAATCCAGGAGGAGGGCTGAGGAGGTCAGAGACGCCGCCTCCCCTGGAGCCTTTATCTGCCAGCTCCTGGCCTGGAGCAGTCCTTCCTCAAACACAGAGAGGCGTGTAAATAAATGCCTGTTGGTCCGTGTCCCTTGCAGTGAAGCGCTCACACTAAGGCGGGGGTCTCAGGTGGGGTGTGTCCCCGCCTCAGGGGCTGCTTGCCGGTGCAGGGACACGTTTCTAGTTGCCCCCTTGGGGGAGCTACTGGCGTCCAGGAGGTGCCACCTGAGTGCTGCTCCTCATCCTGCAGCGCCCAGGGCGCCCCGGGACGCGGGACCGTTGGGCCCAGGGTCTGGCCGAACCGCAGAGCAGGAGCCGTGGGGGGCAGAGCAGGAGTCCTGCTGAGCCCGGGCAGCGGGCGAATGCTGCGGGCCGGCCTTGGGACCGCTTGGGACCTGCTGCCCCTTCCTTCCTCCGATGTCTCCCTTGGGGTGTGGGGGCGTCTGTCCCACTGCTGTATTTGGAAGCACATAACGTGTCTGGTTTCATGGTGTGGACGAAAACGCGGCCACAGACTAACCCTGACAAGCTCGGGGAGGCCCGCACGGTGGGCCCTGCAAACTCACAGCCCAGGGCTGACCACGCAGGGCGGCCTGAACCCAAGCCTTCCCTTCTCCCTGGGAGTGGAGCCCGGTGGCAGCCGCACCCCAGGCCTGCAGCCTCCTCGGCAGCGGCCGGCCTTTACTTGGCCTGCGCCTGCCTACTGTGTCTTTGCATCTAGGGTAACATGTCTTCGGAAGGTCAGAGGGGTCTCCTTTTCCAGACCCGCAGGGCCCAGCCAGCGCCCACGAGCCGTCGCTGTCGTCTTGTTCCCTGCGCGCCATCTCTTTGTGCCCTGTCAGTGTTAGATGTTAACCATCCTGTCCCCACCAACGGAGAGGGAGGACTGGGCTCTCCGCTTGACCCTGTCCCGTCCCAGAGGCCTCTTCGCTTTGCCTTCTCCCACCCCCCCGAGCCCGACACCCATGGATTTCATGTAACCCCCTCACATCGGCTCCTTTGATTCTAACGTAGAAAACAAGCCGCAACACTGACATGCTCGGGAGCATTTTCTTAATCCATTGAGATTTTACTTCCCAGCAGTCAGCGCGGCTCAGGTAAACTCATAAAAGGTTCCTTCAGGTTTGGACGTCGTTTTGGCTTGGGGTTCGCAGCCGGCCTCAGGCAGGGGTCCCTGCCCGCATCTCAGTGGGCGGCGTGTGGACGAGGGGTCAGTGCAACCCACTCTGAGCCTGCTCCTCCCACCGCCCGGTGGTCTCCTCCTGCGGCTCCAGGCTCTCCTGGTCCTGGCCTACTGCCTGTGGGGTGTAAAGGACACAGAGGACAAGGGTGACTCCCTGAGGCCATGGCGCAGAGATGGGCGGGCGGCAGGGTGAGCGCTCAGCCTTAGGAACGCTGGGTGAGGTGTCCGTTGCAAGGCTCCGTGGAGGTGGGGGGACACCCAGGCATCAGAGCTCCACGCAGGGGCCCTGGCAGGAGTCACAGGTCAGGGAGCTGCCAGCCCTTGCTGGTACGTAAAGCCGTAAAGCCCTGGAACGGAGGTGCTTGCCCAGGAGCGGGCGTAGACCCAGAAGGAGAGTCAAGGAGTGAGCCTGGCCAATCAGGAATCAGCAGGGGAGAGCGAAGAAGGGGGACCAGGGGAGGCGGCGGGTAGGATCCTGGGGCCAGGGGAGGAAATGAGGGAGGAGGAAGGTATCAAAGTTGCCTCAGTTCCCTGCTGCTGCTGTAACAAACGACCATGCACTTGGTGGGTTCGAACATCAGACGTTTATTAACTTGAATTTCTGGGGGACGCAGTCGGAGGTGAGTCTCCGGAGCTAACGCCACGGTGTCAGCAGGGCTCCTCCTGGAGGCGACAGCAGAGGCTCTGCGCCTCGCCTTTCCCAGCCTCGGGAGGCGCCTGCACGCCTTGGCTCCTGGGCTCTTGCCCCTCCCCCCACCACAGAGCACACGCTGCGCCTGGTGTCTGCAGTCGCATCTTCCCTCCCTCGGCTTCCGTCCGCACGTGGTCTTCTCCTGACTCTGACCCTCCGTCCTCCCTTGTATAAGACCCTGGGAAGACCTAGGGGCCTTCCCTGATTACCAGGATACTGTCCGTCACCCTCCACCCTCCCCCGTCCAGAGCCTTAACTTAATCGTATCAGCAAAGTCGCGGTTGCCACGTGAGGTGACACATTCACAGGTTCTGGGGTTTAGGACGCGGATAGCGGGGTGGGGTGGGGGCATTGTTCAGCCCACCGCAGTCCGCCCTCCGGTTCCCAGGTTCCCATTTATCCCATGTGCCAAATATTCACCCCAACTCAAGGTCGCCCAAGGTCTCAACTTATCACAGCATCAACTCAAGGCCAAGTCTCCTCCCAGTCTCAGCCGCTCAGACGTCTCAAATCTCTTCACAGACATTACCAAAATTAGGTACGGGCGAGGCTCCAGCTAAGGAGGAGGCTGGTGGGGAGACCACGGCGCGGCGTCGGACGTCCCCACTGGTGAGCGGGGGCTCGGAGACTCCATAGCCAAGGCGTCCTCCTGCAGCCCCTTGCCCTGGACTGCGAGGGCTCCAACTCCTGGGGCACAGGGCGCCCCCATCAAAAAGCCGAGACGCCAGTTACCCGCGCCCATGCTACAGACGGACAAGTCGAGGCGCACAGCGCGCCCGGGGCCAAGACCGTCGGGGCCCACCCCTGGACGCCCCGCTTTGTCCCACCCGCATCCCCACTGCATCCTGCGATGCCACCGAGAAGTGAGTCCTCCGCGATGCTTAGAGTGTCCCGGAAGTGACCGGTGGCGGAGGGGCGTGGCCCGGCGGAGGGCTGAACGCCAGCACTTCCGGTAGCGGCGGCTCCCGGCCCGCAGGTGAGTGGGGGCTGGTCCCAGGGAACGCGCGGGCGCCGTGCGGTCTTTGGGCCCCTCGGTGGGCAATGCTGCCGGGAGCCGCACCCCGGCCTCGAGGCCGAGCCCCCCGCCTGTCGCCCCGCAGGGACCCGGGCCGATGCGCCAGCCCCGAGCCTTCCGTGCAGCTTTCGCTCCGAGCCGTGCCGTGGCGCCAGGTCCCGACCCCGGGGCCCCGCCTGCCGAAGCCACCAGCCACCGAGGCACCCTCCCTTCCCCGGGAGAAGCCGCCGCGGACTTGACTTTCTGGTTTTCCCTTCTGGTTTGCTCTTGCCCCAGACCTGGCCCCGGGATAGAAACGCTTTCCAGAGCAGCCTCCAGCCGCGCGCGCGCGCCGTGCCCGGGGTCTCCTCGCCCTTGCTCCGCGGAGACGCGCCTCGGGTTTGTACCCACCGGCCCGTCGCGGACGCTTCCCCGCTCCAGGCGCCCTTCCTAAAGGATGCGCACCCGACGTCTCCGTCCCTTACCGTCCCGCCCTCATCCTTCTTGCCCCCAGGACTTCACCTCTTCCTCGGTCACCAGAAAACTTATTTCTTGAGTGTTTCTCTCTGATGGCTCCCTCTACCCCTAAAGACCCCTCCAGACCACCGCTTGTCCCCTAAAGCCCTGGGGATCTTCTAAGGATGGGCAGTGATCTACTTGTGCGTGACAGGCTGCCTCCCTCTCTCCTGCCCCAACTCTGTCCCCTTTTGCCTTTCCGCCGTTTTCTGGTCTGTTCCTTGGGCATGAGAGGATATTTGTGGCTGGCTGTGACCCTGTGCCTTGGCGTCAGCGCTTCCCCAGAAGCGGCAAGGCTGGACACCCCAGCCTTGTTGCATCATGGTGCCTTTAGGTCGAAGAAATGGCTTCAGAAGTAACATCTGAATTTCATCTTTAAAGGAGGCTTTTGCTGCATGAGCCGGATCGCCGTGTTTTCAGCTGTGCTGCGTTGCCCCGCACACACCTGCATGTCCAGTGCAAGGCGTCGCTCGTCATGAGCACATCCCAGGCACCGAACCTCCAGACACCCCTTCCGGCTGCCCCAGCCCTTCCTCTGGGGTCCCGTGTCCTCCTGGTTTCTAAGCCAGTTTCATATTAAACACCTCCCTGAAAGTGCATAGTTGCCTTTACTTCCCGGTGCTCCCCGCAGGGCCTCGCAGGGCAGCGCCACACTGTCACGCCCGGTAGATAGGGTGTAAGCAGCGTCCCTCTACGCAGCACCTCTCCCCGCTTTGCAGACCAGAGACTGACTCAGAAGGCTGCCGGCACGTGCTCAGAGCTCGCCGGCGACAGGCCCTGATTTGTGTGGGGCGCTCTTGCTGCTGCATTTGAAGAAACCACTTCTCTTGAGCTGTGGTCTCAAAGGGCCCCGTTTTTAGGCTCCACATTTGACTTGTCCTGTAGCCTCACCAACTGCTTGCAGTTGGAAGCAGCAGCCAAAACGAGGGTCTGGAAGGGAGGTGGGTGGGGGCGAGGGCTACGAGGGCGCTTGTGAGCCCTGCAGGCCTTTCCCGGGGGGTGTGGCGAGGGGCGGCCGTAGGGCTGGTTCCGTCTGTCCACGGGCGAGGAGTGAGGGCTGGAGGCCGAGCCGTGGAGGGAGGGAGGGAGGGAGGGAGGCACAGCCTGCTGTGACGGAGAAGACAGGACCGTCCCAGCCACTGCCCTGCTCTGAGCAGCCCAGCTGGGTGCCCGGGGTCCCGGCCGCCGCCCTTCAGTCCTCTGGCTGGAGGGCTTTGGCGTCCTGCGGGGGCGGGAACTCTCAGGCTGTCCCAGGCCAGCAGGGCTGCACCGGCCATGCCCTGCGGCCTGCTCCGAGGTGTGGGGAGAGGTGTGGGGGGTTTGGGGAAGTTGTGAAAGGATGGAAATGTCCAGCTGGAAGGCACGGGGTGACTCGTTGCTCGGCAGAAGCCGGGGAGAGCCCGCATGCCCAGCCCGCTAGGGGCCCGGCAGAGAGCTAGGCAGCCCGGGCCGTGGGGTCCACGGCTGAGCAGCTCACGTGTTGGTCATTTTTGTATCACTTGTTCCAGCTGCAGCTCCCCAGCGTGTGCGGTCATAGCGATGTGCTCACGGGCAGTCCAGGCCGCGCTCTGTGACTTTGCTCTTTGTCCCCTTCTGCTTTCCAGCTCCTACCTACGATGCGTGTGAAACAGTACCCCGAGCCCCGGAGAGCGGCGGCCTGGCTCCGACAGCTCAGCCGGTTAGCCGCAGCCAGTGCCCGGGGCCCTGCCGCTCCAGTCTGTGGTTGAGGGGAGAAGTGGCCACCGTCCCGCGGAGAAGGCCGCAGGTCTCAACGGCGTGGAGAAGTGTAGGGGGCGGTGCTGCTGGAGAGAGGTGGTGGAGCCGGCCACGTTGCCAGGAGTGGAGGACGAGGGACAGCTGAGGCAAGAGGTTGTGGAGCCCGGAGAGAGGCACGGAGGGTCAGCAGACGGCGGACCGAGGGGCGGAAGTGGGGGAGTGGGAGGAGGCGGCCGGGGAGGCAGAAGGCTTCTGGCTGAGGTGTGCGTCCCTGCCTGCCCGCGCGGGGCCGCAGCCGCCCTCCACATGGCCTCCAAGCAGGCCTCCGGGAGGGGCCCGGGGGAGAAGCGCAAGAGGGTGGTGCTGACGCTGAAGGAGAAGATGGACGTCTGCGCCCGCCTGGAGCGGGGCGAGAGCAGGAAGGCGCTGATGCAGGAGTACAACGTGGGCATGTCCACACTGTACGACATCAAGGCCCACAAGGCGCAGCTGCTGCGCTTCTTCGCCAGCTCCGACTCCAACAAGGCCCTGGAGCGGCGGCGCACGCTGCACACGCCCAAGCTCGAGCACCTGGACCGCGCGCTGTACGAGTGGTTCCTGGGCCAGCGCGCCGAGGGCGTCCCCGTCTCTGGGCCCATGCTCGTCGAGAAGGCCAAGGACTTCTACGGGCAGATGCAGCTCACCGAGCCCTGCGTCTTCTCGGGCGGGTGGCTGTGGCGTTTCAAGGCCAGACACGGCATTAAGAAGCTGGACGCGTCCAGCGAAAGGCAGGCGGCCGACCACCACGCGGCCGAGCAGTTCTGTGGGTTTTTCCAGAGCTTGACCACGGAGCACGGCCTGACGCCGGAGCAGGTGTACAACGCCGATGAGACCGGCCTCTTCTGGCAGTGCTTGCCCGGCCCCGAGGGCGGGCCAGGGCCCGGGGGCAGGCAGAGCAGGGACAGGCTGACCGTGCTCATGTGTGCCAATGCCACAGGCTCCCACAGAATCAAGCCCTTGGTCATTGGGAAATGCAGCGGCCCCCGGGCTTCCAGAAGCATCCAGCACTTGCCCGTGGCCTACCGGGCTCACGGGAACGCGTGGGCAGACCGGGCGGTCTTTTCTGACTGGTTCCATCACATCTTCGCCCCCGCAGTGAGAGAGCACTTCCGAGCCCGGGGTCTGCCTGAGGACAGCAAAGCCATCCTCCTGCTGGACAGCTCCCGGGCCCACCCGCAGGAGTCCGAGCTGGTCTCTGAGAACGTCTTCACCATCTTCCTGCCCGCCAACGTCACCTCCTTAATTCAGCCCATGGACCAGGGCATCCGACGGGACTTCATGAGGAATTTCATCAACCCCCCTGTCGCGCTGCAGGGCCTCCACCCGCGCTACACCGTGAACGATGCCATCTGCAGCGTGGCCTGTGCCTGGGACGCCGTGCCGGGTGCCGTCTTCAGCCGGGCCTGGAGGAAGCTGTGGCCCGCGGCCACGCTGGCTGAAGGCTCATCGTCTGAGGAGGAGCCCGAGCGCCTCGGAGCCAAGCCTCATGACCAGGCCTTTGCGCACGTCCTGGAGCTTGGGGGAGAGGTCAAGTCTCGCCCAAGCAGCAGACTCCATGGGAGCGTGACCACCGAGCGGGCTGGGCCAGGGCAGGAGGCCGGAGAGGCGCGCCCGGGCCAGGGCCAGCCAGGGCAGGCTGAGAAGGATGGCCGGGCCGAGGCCGCCACGGAGGGGGAGGAGGCGGAGGCGGCCTGGGAGCGGGCAGCCGCAGCCTTCGACGCGGTGCTCCGCTTTGCCGAGGGGCAGCCCTGCTTCACGGCGCAGGAGCTGGGGCAGCTGCGCGCTCTGCGCTCCGTGTTCATGCGGCAGCGGCAGGGACGGCGGCAGCGTCCGGCCATCCGGGCCCTGATCAAGCTCGAAGCCCCCCAGGAGCGGGTGGGGGGTGGTGCCCCCTTGGGCCCCTCCCCGTCCACTGCAGGCAGGGACTGATGGCGCCCAGCAGGGTGGCCGAGTGGTGGCAGCCGGCAGGAGCCGCCCCTGGGGCATGGGTGCTGTGAGGCACGCGGCCCTCACATTCCAGTTAACCTGTGTTACCTGTCATGTCACGGGAACGTGAGGAATGCTCTGGAAGGGCCACCCGACCTAGAACATCCCAGAGCTTCCTGTGGCCGGAGGCCAGGACGGGTGGGCAGACGGTGGTCTGGTGGTCGCTGGCTGAGCCTTGCCCTGACCGTGCATAGGGTTGTCTCTGTGCCAGAGGACAAGAGCGGCGCTCAGGCCGGCCAATGGCAGTAGCTGCTGCCACTCGACAGGTTGGCCGGTCCCAAGGCCGCCTCTCCCACCCTGGGGGGCTCGGGCTGCTGGTCTGGTGGCTATGCCCGTGTTAGGGGGGGCCCCAAGGCCAGGTCCCTGGGGGCGGGGACTCCGCGTATGACCTCCAGTGGGCAGAGTCCCTGCTTGTGTCTTTATAGGCAACCTGGCATCACCCTGTGTACACGTCCCCACTTTTGGTGGGGTCTCACCTAGCGGCACAAGACTTCCCGGAGAGTTCCTCTGTGTTTCCAGCACCGCCCCCCGCCCCGCCCTTGGGTTCGGACCAAGATGCGGCCGCGTGCTGGTGCCCTGGTTGAACTGCTCCGCCTAAAGCAGGCGAGGGCATCGGGCCAGCCTGCCTGCCGCCCGGCGGACGACCACGGGCCCGGTGCCGTCTCCAGCGCCTTGGCTCGGAGTCCAGAGCCCGCAGCCCCACGTTCCCAGAATTTCACATTCCTCGGCCTTCACACGAATAAACCTCAATCAGGCCTCCTACGGTTTGCACATATGTAATAAAGACAGGAAGACCCGCTGCTCAGATTTCTAGCCATAGTCGAACCCCTGTTTCAGCTGCGCACGCCTGAGCAAGACCCGGGGGCAGTTGGCATCCCGGCCGGTTCACGAGGTGGGACCTGCGCTGTGCAGCCAGCTCGGTTCTCCGCGGGCGCTGCTGGGCCTGCCCCCCCGGAGGGCCTGCGGCACGGCTCGCCCCCCTGGGCACGAGACGGTGGCTTTTCTGTGTCTCTTCGCTGGTCTGCCCTGCAGTTCCGCCCCCTCCCTGAAGTCGTGCCGTGGCAGCCGAACGGACACACCGTGGCCACTGTTTGCTGTCTGCCCCTCCGGGAAACCGTGGTTCTGAGAGCCGAGGAGGCACGAGTGTCTCTACCACGTCCCAGGCGCTGGGTGGCGGCAGCTGCTGGCCCGGTGCTCCATGGCCGTGGCTCGTGTGTCCTGCCTTGAGTGCGCACGGAGACTGGGAAGGGGGCACACGGCTCGAGTGTCCGTGCAGGGTCTGTGGCCACGGCCGGGACGCCCTGTGCCGTCGCCGCTCCTTTTGTGCATGGGGCCCCTCTGTACTTGGTGTCATTCTCTGTCACTCCTGCACTCGCCACTGTGCCACTGAGTTGCAGCTGCGTGGGGTGTGGCCGGACGTTGGATGTGGGCGTGGGCGGGGCCGCCCTCGCGCCGGCGGGGCCGTGTGGCGACTGACAGGGACACCCCGTGCTCTGCACCCGCTGGACTTTGCTGGGTGGGTGGAGGCGGGGGAGGGCCGCGCAGGCAGGCGCCTGTAGGCTGGACCCCAGGCTGCGGGCACGTGTCGCGCCCTCACTAACTGCCCGGTCCTGGCGTGCTGTGGCCAGTCAATAAACGCCGTCAGTGGACTGGCCGAGCAGCGTCTCCTTGGGGCTGCTTCCAGGACCGGCGGTCGTGCGTGGCTCTGGTTCACACCCCAGCTGCTGCTGCTGGGGCACATCAGGGCAAAGGGCTCGCTGCTGGAGCTCCCAGGCGGAGGGAGGGCCCTCGGGGTGCGGAGTTGGTGGGCGGGGGCCCAGCCAGCCCGTCCTGCGAGCTCTGTGCCGGGCTCCAGCAAGCACCTCTGCCCGGCCAGCCCCCCGGGACTCCTTGCAGAGACCGCTGCATCCTCTGAGCGGCCCCCCCAGCCCTGGGGCTCTGCCCCACTACCGCCCAGTGTCTGAGAGGCTCAAGGGTGTTTTAGCCTCAGGCTCTTCCCACCCCCCCAGCAGCCTTAGGTCGGGCCCACTGGGTTGGATGGGACACCAAGTGGTGTGGGACTACGCCTCTTGGTCACCCTGCCAGCCAGATGGGGGCCGGAGGCCATGGAGGGAGGGGCTGGAGCCTGTGCGGGCCCATGAGCAGGGCCTGGCCTGCACCCCAAGGAAGAGGGCTCCGTCGGGCACCCGCCTGGGTCTCAGGGCGCCAGGCTAGGTCCTGCCAGCACGGGCGGGCTGCACCGCATGCCCAGCCTGCGGCGGCCGGGGCAGCTGCGGGGAGCATGGACGGAGGGCAGCAGACGGACCACGGGCTGAGTGCAGCCCATGGGGGCCCCCCCGGGGGCCTCTCGCGGAGGAGGGGGCCTCCCTGACTTCCCATGGGGCTCTCGCTTCCCTTACCTCTCTGGCTCTACCCCCGGGTCTCAGCCGTGGCCTGTGGCGGGACATTCTCTCTCACCAGCCTCCGGTCCCCTCACTCCCTCCAGAGGCCCTGCTGGGATCGGGCGAGGCAGGGCTCCCGCTTCGCCAGTGGGAGGCGGGGCCGGGACTGGAGGGGCGGGGGCGGGGGCGGGGGCGGGGCCCCGGCCGTGGGGGAGGCCCTGGCCGGCAGGGGCGGGTGGGTGTGGGAGGCCAGGGCCGCGGGGGGGCCCCCCCGCCCCCGCCTCTCCCGTCCTCCCCCTTGGGTAAGTCATTCGGCCCTGGTCTATGGGGCAATAAGTTGAGATAAAAGCCAGCATGTCACAGGCTGCTCTGATGAGGACACCCCAATCCCTCGCTTGTGGCACTGGCTATCCTTGTGCCTCATTATTAAACAGACACTTAAACCACGGCCTGAGGGAGTGGTGGCAGGCGGGCCTGGTCAGGGCCCTGGGGGCCTGTTGGAGGGGGACGCTGGGACTGGGGGCCACAGCCCCTCCCCTGCGATGGGGGGCAGGCCTAGGGGCCACGCTGGGTTCCCAAGGGCCTTCCTTGCTGGCCCCACCCCGACTGCCGCTGGCCCCTGGCGGGGCCTCGCCTGCTCGCTCGCTCGCCTGGGCTCAGCCCCGCCCCTGCCAGCGGGCACCTGCCGCCTCTCAGTTTATCCTGACACGAGACCCCTGCATGCTGCCCTCGCCCTGGGAGCCCCCAAAGTGTGCCCTGGGTGTCTTGTCGCCTGTGGGGCCACCGGCACCGCGGCAGAGACCCCCACTAAGGCCCACGGGTGCCGGCCAAGCAAGGAGAGCGGTGTCCCCCCGCTTTCAGGGCAGAAGTTCAGAATAAATGACACAGTCAGGTCAATACAACAGCCTTCCGTTTGCCGAACCCAGAGAGTTCACGGGATTGTCCACCCTGCCACGCGCCTGCCAGGGCGTAACGGCTGTCGGTGGTTGCGGCTGTGTCCTGCCCGGGGCCAGAGCTGAGGACGGGCCGCCTGGGGGGCGGGTGCTGTGGCCCTGCCCGAGGCTGGACAGGGCCTGGCTGGGGAGGGGGGCGGGGCGCGGGGCTGGCGCAGAGCTGTCTCTGAGGTGAAGAAAAGTTCTGGGGTCACACGGTGTCAGCAACGCTGCATGTGATCAGTCCCACTGAACTGTCCGCGCAAGGTGGAGCAAGTAGTTTCCTGTTACGGGTGTTTGATTGCGCGCACGTGCGCATGCCGTCGTGAAACCCAAGGTCTGGGCTGTCGGGCCTGGGGGCGGGGCCTCAGAGCACAGCCGGACATTCCGAGACCAGCTCCAGCAGGAGGGACTGGGCGATGTCACCCCAGCCTGTCCGCACCTGCCTCCCACTCCCTCCAGCAGCCCCTGCAGGTCCGGCTGCCTGGGGAAGTCGAGGACGGCCAGGGGCCTTCAGCCCGCGTTTCCTGGGTGCCTGCGGGGGCCACGGTGCCCTCGGCCGGCTGGACCCTGCCCGGAGCAGGACGAGGCCTGGGGGGAAGGGCACCTGGAGTGCAGTTCCCCAACCCCTGGGCTGCGGGAAGCCAGCTGGGCTGGGTCCAGCTCAGACCCCGCCACCCTCCCTCCTGTCCCTTTGCCGCGTGTATTGGGGTTGCCTCCTCAGAGGCCACCACACCGTGGAGGTCCCGGGCTGTCCACACCCCAGGCCGGTGGCCTGTGGACCTCAGTGTGCTCACGGCCGCCTGCTGGGGACGGGGGCATGGACCCTGTCCCTCTCAATGAATGGCACAAGCACCGAGGGCCCCCGGGCCCCCTCAAGGCCCGAGGACCGGGAGCCCTGCCAGGAACCAGCCCAGGCCGAGCAGGGCCTCGTTCGCCCTTGATTTGCAAAAGCAACTGGTTAAACATGCACACACGCGATGGAAAAAGGGTGATTTTTAGTCACTGGGGAAAACTGAACCTGGGTGGGCCTTCGATCCCCTCAGAGACACCGTGGAAACATGGCTGGGGTAAGAAGGGCGCTTGGTTGTATTCCCCAGAGCCTGCTCCAGACGGGGCCGCCAGGTCCTTACAGGTGAGGGGACACGTGCGGGACTGGATCTCTCTGTTCCGGGGGGAGGGGGTGTCAGGAACAGCGGGGGCCCTTTCTTCAGCCCCCCTCCTCGCGTGTGTTCCAAGTTCCCACCGTGAAAGGCTTGTCCCGGAGCCGGAGGAGGGGCCGCGCCCCCAGCCCCCGCGGCAGCCACCGCTGCCGCCACCGCCGCTGCCGCCGCTCGGCTCCGGCTGGGCAGGTGCGTCAGGCCCGGGTGCGGAGCCGCTGACGTGCTTCCCTCAGGGACACAAAGGCCTCTTTCCGCTGCAGAGGAGGCTCGGCAGGTACCTGGGGGTGAGTCAGAGGCCCGGCGAGGGGTGAGTGAGTGATGAGTAACAGTGATGAGTAGAGAGATGAGGACAGTCACTTCTGGCACTCGGGACAGCCTGTTCTGAGGGAGGGAGGGGAGGGGGCGGCGGGGGGAGGGAGGAGGGAGGAGGGGGGCGCCGGGCCCAGGCGCTGGGGGCCGGTGACTGTGTGGGAATGGCGTGGGGGGAGGAGCACGGCCATCGGGCCAGAGCCGATTCGCTCAGATCAGGAGACGACCTCCGTGTCCTGGGGAAGCTCACAGATGGGATGTGCCAGCGCGGAGTGGGCCTGGCCAGGGGTGCGGTCACCTCGGCGCTATGGCTCGGGCCAGCCGTCCCGGGCCCCCCAGAGACCCTGCTGGCACGGAGCGGTCCGAGCAGCCGGGGTGGGGGGCCAGCTGCTGCTCTGCCTGGACAGAGCGGGGGCACACAACCCCTCACCGCCCAGGGGAAGGGACCGTGGCGGCCGCTGCCGAGGTCTCCAGGAGGCTCCGCCCCGGGTCTCTGTCCTGGGGGCAGCCAGGCGGGGGGAGACGCAAGGACAGACGAGGACATCCTGGCGTGACGGGCGTTCCAGGGTGCCTGAGGGGACACCTCTTGGAGTCAGAGGGTGTGCCCTACCTGGGGACCGGGAGCCACCCTGGGTGCCCTGGAGGCGGGGGGGCGGCCCAGGGGCAGGTGTGGCCCACGCCACCCCGAATCGTGCCCCGGTGCCCCGCGCCCTGGGGCCGGCCTGTCTGTTCCCCACAGGGGCCCGTCCAGGGCCGGCCGGGCCGCCTCCCCTCAGGCCGGCGCCGTGGTTGTGGCGGCTGGGCCGCAGCGCAGGCCCTCGCTGCCGCTCGGTGGCATCCCGTTGGGAGGATGGGAGGTGGGACACCAGGACACAAACCAGGCACTTCAGCATGTGCCTCGAAATCAACCAGACCCCCGCCCCCCCGCCCCCCGCCGTTCCCCTCCTCGTGCTCTCAGGAACAGACACGTCCTTTTTGGTGACAGAAGCACCTTAGCTGGGGGCCAGGCTCCTCCCGGTGACATGGCCCCCCTCCCCT